TGAGTTGCATTACTATAGCCTAATGGTCATTGGTTGAGAGAAAAATCATACTAAATAACTGAATACTAAATGAGAAGAGAATTGAAAAAAAAAGGATTAGCTGTGTGATAGATTCGCAGAATAATGATAAACCATATGAATTCATAAAGTGGTGGTGTTCTAGTATGTGGTGTGTCTTGTTATAAGTCCATAGGTTGACAGTTTTATTGTGTTACTTGAACTTAGTCAACTTTGTTAGTAATACCTGAAGAGTCTCTTATCATAAGAAATAAGCATGCTTTTTCTAAGTAATTAATTACAAAGTCACAACTTTGTGCTTTGCTGATGGTAAATAACAAATAAAAAATTTACTCCATTAATTATATTGCTAAGGACATTCTTTGGTAAACTTAAAATAGTTGCATTAAAAAAAAAAAACTAAACAATTTAGAATAAGACTTTATTAAATGAAGAGTAAGAGCAACCCGATACATGTTGCCATAAAATAATGTTGAAAACCTACGCTATGTATGACTACAGCTTTCCATGACTTACAAATTGCTGGTAGTTTCTGATTGATCCATGTTCACGTTGACAACAGCTATGAAATATCCTTTATATAACAGCATATTACTGACATTAAAAAGAATTAACTGCAGCCTTATCACTACTGCTCAGAACATATCGCTGACATTAAAAATCCAATACAACACAGCCGTTATTTCACAGATCTATTTTAAAACGTGCTGACAAAATAATGGTACTGCCTTTCTTGGGTGGGAATCAGAGTGTGACGGTCATTCGTCATCGGCCTTCCGTGGGGCTTAATCTTTTTTTTGATTCATTCCTGGCTTATGTTTAAATATGGATTACCTATACATACTAAATGCAAGATAACGGGTTAAGTGTTTCTTAGATAGTTAAAACTCCGAATCGAATAAATAAAAGCTAAAGCATTTATAAAATTAACATAGGTTAGTAATAGAATAAAGCTTACTGGATCTTTAACCACTTCATTTAATGAACTTTTAAAAATTATCTATTTATAAGCTCATGTATAATATTAATGCCGAACTAATGACCTAAGCAGAATAGCTTCATCAAAATTAAGGTAATCACGCACAGTGGCAAACGCATATCCTTATAAAAATTTCTATGTTAAACAATGACTCTAAAAACGGGTCTGTTATCTCTTAGATATTATGAAGAATGTGAAGGCAATCTACTACAAAAAACACTGTACTCCTTGGAAATTATTGTATCTCCAAACCCTGACACGCTCTAAAATTAAATCAGTTAAAAACAATGTGCGCTTCGATCCATTTCAAATACTCCCCAAGCGCACACACTTGAAGTAGAAGCGTGATGTTAAGAAGCAGAACAACACAATACTAAGTGAAACTCTATAGTCCAAAATTATGTTTCTACAGACAAAAGAACTCTTGAAATAAAAGTTTTAATTACGATTTTTAATGACAAAGGATTTGATGTACAGCAATGTTTGTCCTTCCCAAGATTAGGACATAATAATGTTATTTTAGAGCAACTGTTATGCTTTAAACCACCATCATTTTTTTGGTAGTATTCGTATTTTTACAAACCCGTACACAAACCTTACTTTTTGTAATATATACGTGTTAAACTCAAAATCGGAAACAAGCTATATTTTGTTGTTGTTTCACTATGTTATACTTCATAAACATCGCCGATAATGTAGGTTTCGGTAATGTTACCTACACCCCCCTCTCCGCCGTCAATTCTAATTATCATTACTATAAGTTGAGACCGTATATCATTCATTGTGAGCACGATTACATAGGGCTACCCTATTGCATCCTTCACTTGTTTGTATAGTAGTTCTATAAAAAAGGGATATTTCCCATGTCAAGATCCTTACAAGCCATCACCCACTACACAGACACTTGAACTGGACTTAATCGGTTTCTACTTCCTCGTTCGCGTAGATCTGCTACTTGAATTTGTGAGCGCGCAACCCCCTACACCCCTTCTTTTTTTCCCCTCATTGTTTTTTTTTTGCATCCCACCAACCACTGGTCAGTTTTGTTCCCCTTCCATTCATAGCCTGTAGTCATTGTTTTCAACATAACAACTTGAGCCCGCTTACTTTCCGAGTCCCTAGCAGCCGCAAGTGTTGAAGGTTCCTCAGAATGAATCTGGTCGTCCCATGATAGAAAGGTCGTCACAATGACTCTGGTCTCCCATAATATAATGATCCTCACAATGACTCTGGTCGTCCCATGGTATTAAGGGGCTTTCATTAATTACGTCTACGATTTTTAAGCAATATTTGACCACCCAACAGTTTCCCAACTGTCAAACTGTAAATGACCCCCCACTCTGTAATGATGTCAACATTTTTCACACTCCCCCCCCCCGAAAAAAAAGATTATAATATAAATACATATATACATGCATTTTACTGTGTGCTTATCTATTTTAAAAACACACAATTTTAGGAAAAACTTTTAGTTGCATCTTTAGGGTATTTAAACAGTTTTTACACATACATTTTATAATGCAGAATCAGTAAAAATGTTTTTTAAGACTAAATATAATCGGTTAAGGAGAGAAAATATTTAGCCCCCAGGGTCTGGGTTAAGGCTAAATGGAAGGGGCTGTGAGGTCTTACACATCTTGATTAATTGGCACCTGCGGGAGATGACATATGGTTTCGTCATGGACGGATGATGGGAGATTTAGTATGTTGTCGAAGAGTTGGGCCAAGCGTACAGTACGTTTTTCCTTGGACGCTAGCAACACGATGTCGGTGTTGTATAAACATTGCTCTGAGTTTTTCCCGAATTGGTAAGACAATAAAACAAACTTTTTTTTTTAGAAATGTTTAACACATGGCATCCGCACACGCTGTTTTTATAGTTGGACTCTAAAACTTCATGGTGTTCAAATGTTTATTGGGGACTTCTTTCCCTGTTATAGTCATTTGGGTTTTAAGATAAGGTTAAGCTTGGCGATGCTAAGACAATTGTCGGCCCAGCGGTCTGATATACGTACAGAGTTAGTTACACGTATGTCCCTGGCTATCTTTCCTCCTGATGATAACTTAGTCAAGCAGATGTCAAACCGCTAAGCGAGGGAACATTCGGGGCATCCTGTTAGGCGTGCGAAGCTGAAAGTCTGCTGCTAAACAACAGTTCGTGTCCAGTAAAATTCGGATGCGAAAAAAATAAAAGGTTACTGTTGCAATGACTGACTCTATAAGTTTCCAGTACCCCTTCCCAGGCGATGTAATCTGTCGTTACGTGAGCATTAAAGTCACCAAGATTTATGAGCGCGTCCTGCTTTGCGACATCAGCTATGGCATTAAAGTCACCAATATTTATGAACGTGTCCTGCCTTGCGACATCAGCTATGACATAGTGAAGTTTCCATTAAATGTATTCTTCGTTTCTTGTGTGTTTGGCATTTGTGGACAATAGCAACTTGGTGGTGGTGAGGTGTTTCCTTTCAGATAAGAGGGTTAGTTTCATTATGACATCCTTAGCTCCCTTTTGAAGTGAAGCGATCGTACTAATCAGTGTGGATTCGTGACCAAAAAAAAAAAAACCCACAACACCACCATCAACACGTCATGATTAGCTTCATCGGCCATTTGAAAGAAAACGATTGTGTTAGTGGGTATGTGTGTGTGTGTGTTTGTGTGGAGGGGGATAGGAGGTTGGCGTGGTCTTATCCAAGAACAACTTTGCAAACAACTGTGGTGGAAGCAACTAGGAAACAACTTTGTTTAAGACACACTGTTTTCAACAAAAGTACCCCAAAGTGTGAACACACCCCAGGGATCTAGTTGTGTGTGACTGTGTCAAAAACTGTGGGTTTTTTTTCATTTTATAATTATTTTAATTTTAAATTTTACATTTGACCGCAGGCACGGAGTACCATCAAGCTGCAACTGATCTGGTGGGGACAAATGTAGCATACATAAGGTCCCAACCAAGTAATAAACAATATGAGATAGTTGTAGTTAGAGCATACATATTCAGACCCGTTAACCCCTACGCTGTCGCTGTTGTAACTACATTTTTTTAAGTATAAGACTACAGCACTAGGATAAGCTTTAAAAATGAAACTTCGTTTTAGAGAGTTGTTTTAATTTTGTGTGTGTGTGTGTGTGTATGTATGTTTAATTAAAAAAAAAAAACTTTTAAAACGTGGGGTTGTTTTCAGTAAAGAATTGCCGCATTGTGTGTGTTAACTCAGTAAGTAATTGAATATGAATAACAATGATTGGACTTTGCGGTCTCGATCTCAATAAACCAACTAGGATATTTTCTTTTAGAGAAATTCGTTGTTAACACTTAACTGCCTAGTAAATATTTACTTATCCTTAAGAAACAAATCGCATTGCTTTATCCTGTTTAGATCAAAATAATTGGGTTAACTAACATCAAGAGATGAATGGGTTTTCTTTACATAAATTGTATTTTATAGCAAAATTTCCCCCCCCCCCCAAACTAATTGACCAACTTACTCTTTGGAGTAAAAAAACTACGTTGATGAGAGCTTAAAACTACTGTGACATATAAAAATTTACTTATCATTAAGAAAAAAATCGCATTGCTTTATCCTGTTTAGATCAAAATAATTGGGTTAACTAACATCAAGAGATGAGTGGGTTTTCTTTAAATAAATTGTATTTTATAGCAAAATTTCCCCCCCCCCCCAAACTAATTGACCAACTTACTCTTTGGAGTAAAAAAACTACGTTGATGAGAGCTTAAAACTACTGTGACATCAACTCAGGGTTAAACAGGTCTGCATATGATCCCATCCAAATTCATTAGGCTGAGGGACAGTGCAGTGGCCTAGCTAGGGGATGGGGAGGGTAGGTCCAAATGCAGGGGGCCCTAAAGAGGCCAAGCCCCCCCGGGCCCCCGAATCCCCCCAAATCCCTAGCTACACCACTGGACATATATTAGTGAAAAAATAAACAATTTTGTATTTTTAAAATTATATCTTATTTATTTTATTTTTATTTAAACAATGCTAAATGCAGAATGCAATAATTTTTTTAAAATAGTTCATTAAATTAATACAGTCCGTTATAAAGTTAAAAGATACGTGTGCCTATTCAGACGATAAAATCCACAGTATAGTCCTTGGTCAGTTCCCTGCACCATAGTTTTCGCGAATTTCTCAGTGGTCCTCTGACAGCAAGCTGTAAGTTGTCTTCCTAATAACTCCTGAAACTTCTAGCTGTAAGGATTAGTATCGTGTTTCCAGATATAACAATAATAATAATAACGTTCATTTCAAAAACATGCTTCATCTCTAAAGGCTCGAAGCGCGGTACAAAGTCAACAAAAAACAAATCTATAATTTAGCACATTTAAAACAAACGCAATACTACAAAAACTAATTACAAACATACCAAGTCAAAGTCTCTCTACCCATTTCAACCCTAAGCAACACAGCCAATATGCATTAACTGGAAAATATGGTAGACAATCATCCTAGAAGGTTTTTGCGAAATAGATATGTGTTTAAATCGGTTTTAAAGGACTCCAGTGTCTGTTTTTTTCTGAGATCGACATGAAGGGCGTTCCAAATTGTTGGAACATCAAATGTGAAAGTGCGCTTTCTGTAAGTCTCAAGGCAAACTCTTGGTGTTTAAATAACTAGCTAATGTGAGAATACAATCATTTTGATTTTTAGATTGATAGTGTACGGTGGTAGCTAACAGGGTGTTGTGTACACAGTGGTAGGTGCCAGGCTAGTGTGTTGACTGTTGTAGGTGCAAGAATCATTTGTAGACAGTGTTAGATAAAAGGGTCACGTGTAGACAGTGTTAGGTAACAGGGTCATGTGTAGACAGTGTTAGATACCAGGAACATGTGTAGACAGTGTTAGATATCAGGGACATATGTAGACAGGGTTAGGCACTAGGGTCATATGCAGACAGTGTTAGATACCAGGGTCATATGTAGACAGTGTTAGACTCCAGGGTTATATGTAGATAGAGCTAGATTCCAGGGACATATGCAGACAGTGTTAGATACCAGGGGCATGTGTAGACAGGGTTAGAGACAAGGTTGATGCGTTGACATTTCTAGATATCAGGGTCATGTGTAGACAAGGCTAGACACAAGGTCAAATTCAGACAGTGTTTGATACAAGGGTCATGTGCAAACTGTGTTAGATAACACGGATATGTGTAGACAGGATTAGACACAATGGTGATATGTAGACAGTGTTAGATACCAGGGGAATTTTTAGACAGTGTTAGACACCAAGATCATGTGTAGACTGATAGATACAAGGGACATGTGCAGATAGTGCTAGATACCAGGGACGTGTGTAGAATGTGTAAGACGCCATGGTCATGTGTAGACAGTGTTAGACACCATGGTCATGTGTAGATAGTGTTAGATACAAGGTCATGTGTAAACAGTGTTAAATGCAAGTGTGATGTGTAGACTGTCTTAGATACCAGAATCATGTGTAGAAACTGTTAGACACCATGGTCATGTGTTGACAGCTTTAAATACCATGGACATTTGTAGACATGGTTAGACACCAGGGTCATGTGTTGAAAGTGTTTGATACCAGGGACATGTGTAGATAGCTTTAGATAAAAGGGGCATGTGTAGACAGTGTTAGACACCATGACCATGTGTAAACAGTGTTAGACACCATTGTCATGTGTAGCCAGTGTTAGACACCATGGTCATGTGTAGACCGACTAAGATACCAGGGGCATGTTTAGAGATTGTTAGACACTATGGTGATGTGTAGACACCATTGTTATGTGTAGACAGTATTAGATAACAGGGACATGTGTTGACAGTGTTAGATACCAGTGGTATGTAAAGACAGTGTAAGACACCATGTTCAGTTGCAGACAGTGTTAGATAACAGGGACATGTGTATGCAGTGTTAGACACCATGGTCATGTTAGAAATTGTTGGATAACAGGGACATGTGTAGGCAGTGTGAAATAACAGGGACATGTTTAATTAGGATTAGACACCATGGTCATGTGTAGACAGTATTAGATAACAGGGACACGTGCAGACAGTGTTAGATGTCAGGGTCATGTAAAGACAGTGTTAGACACCATGTTCGTGTGTAGACTGTGTTAGATAACAGGGACATATGTAGACTGTTAGATACCAGGGAGAATTGTAGGCAGTGTTTGACACCATGGTCATGTTTAGAAAGTTTTAGATAACAGGGACATGTGTAGGCAGTGTGAAATAACATGTATGGACAGAGTTAGATAACATGGTCATTAGTAGATAGTTTTAAATACCAGGGACATGTGTAGACTGTGTTAGATAACAAGGGCATGTGTAGACTGTGTTAGATACCAGGGTCATTGGTAGACAGTGTTAGATACCAGGGTCATGTGTAGATATTGTTACATACCAGGGACATGTGTAGACTGTGTTAAATACCAGGGACATGTGAAGACAGTGTTTGTTTTAAGAATTTCACGAAACAAGCTTTGTAAATGAGCAACTCGTTGACATATATAGATTGAATTGGTCATTAATTCGTCTCCATAAGTTAGTGGAGCTTATACTTATACGCTGGTTTGTTATTAAATATGCGCTCCTTTTCTATTGACATATACCGACTACGATTGTAATTATTTTGTCCACGGAGAATGCTTGTTAACATATCAATAAAAAAAATTATAAATTACCCACCGTTTTTAAGTTCTCGTTCGGCTTACTTTAGGGGACTCTCTGGTTGTCTTAGTATAGCGGGTTGTTGGAGTTGACTATTTGGTTGTCTTAGTATAGCTGGTTGTTGGAGTTGACTTGTGGTTGTCTTAGTATTGTCGGTTGTTTGAGTTGATTTTCTGGTTGTCTTAGTATAGCCGGTTGTTTGAGTTGATTTTCTGGTTGTCTTAGTATAGCCGGTTGTTGGAGTTGACTTTCTTGTTGTCTTAGTATAGCCGGTTGTTGGAGTTGACCTTCTGATTGTCTTAGTATAGTGGGTTGTGGGAGTTGACTTTCTGATTGTCTTAGTATGGCGGGTTGTTGGAGTTGACTTTCTGATTGTCTTAGTATTGTGGGCTGTTGGAATTGACTTTCTAGTTGTCTTAGTATTGCTGATTTTTGGAGGTGACTTGATGATTTCCTTTGTAATACGGTTTTGTGTTAGCCATTTTTTCCTAGCATTGGGGTTTTTCTGACGCACATGCGTGAATGCTCCTCTGATGACTCCTTTGACAATTTCACATTCGAACTCGTTTTCCAGTCGGCAGTATTTAATCTGAAGTTCAAATATAAACATTTGGAAATCTATTTATTCATTTCGGGTGACAAAGTTACACATTTTTAGAGATTACTGATTATGTAGCATTAGGATCTAACATGGCATGACGGTAAAAGTACATAAACCCAAAAGTACCTTCCGTAAGAAAGCGTACAATTGTAGGAAAATAACAAAGAAAATTACAGCGTTTACAAATGCCTCTTGTTTGCTTTTGCATTTATAAAACAACTGTTAACATTCATTCAACATTGGTATTGATATAATCCAATATAAAAAACTTACGCTATAAATGGTGTCCTTATAATATGATAATCTTATCTAATGAAATAACACTATAAAATAGTCTCATGACCATATGAAAAGCTCATACAATAAAGTAACTCTACAAATAATCCTATGAAAATCATGTTAATATATGATATAGTAATAAACGGATATTTAAGAGAAAAAATATGTTTTATACATTATTATTTCATCAATTTTAATCTAAAATATGTCCTTAAAATCTATGTTAGTATGTAAAAATATGTGTCATTTTAAAAATGTGCCGGTGAATTGTTCTCTATTAAGTTGGCGACCTTAGAGCAATGCCAGAACGGTAATATTTATTTAAAGTGCACGCTATTATGCTGACCTACATATTTCAATGCAAGAATGGTAATATTTATTTAAAGTGCACGCTATTATGCTGACCTACATATTTCAATGCAAGAACGGTAATATTTATTTAAAGTGCACGCTATTATGCTGACCTACATATTTCAATGCAAGAATGGTAATATTTATTTAAAGTGCACGCTATTATGCTGACCTACATATTTCAATGCCAGAACGGTAATATTTATTTAAAGTGCACGCTATTATGCTGACCTACATATTTCAATGCAAGAATGGTAATATTTATTTAAAGTGCACGCTATTTTGCTGACCTACATATTTCAATGCAAGAATGGTAATATTTATTTAAAGTGCACGCTATTATGCTGACCTACATATTTCAATGCAAGAATGGTAATATTATACATATTTCAATGCCAGAACGGTAATATTTATTTAAAGTGCACGCTTTTATGCTGACCTACATATTTCAATGCAAGAATGGTAATATTTATTTAAAGTGCACGCTATTATGCTGACCTACATATTTCAATGCAAGAACGGTAATATTTATTTAAAGTGCACGCTATTATGCTGACCTACATATTTCAATGCAAGAATGGTAATATTTATTTAAAGTGCACGCTATTATGCTGACCTACATATTTCAATGCCAGAATGGTAATATTTATTTAAAGTGCACGCTATTATGCTGACCTACATATTTCAATGCAAGAATGGTAATATTTATTTAAAGTGCACGCTATTTTGCAGACCTACATATTTCAATGCCAGAAGGGTAATATTTATTTAAAGTGCACGCTATTATGCTGACCTACATATTTCAATGCAAGAATGGTAATATTTATTTAAAGTGCACGCTATTATGCTGACTTACATATTTCAATGCCAGAACGGTAATATTTATTTAAAGTGCACGCTTTTATGCTGACCTACATATTTCAATGCAAGAATGGTAATATTTATTTAAAGTGCACGCTATTATGCTGACCTACATATTTCAATGCAAGAATGGTAATATTTATTTAAAGTGCACGCTATTATGCTGACCTTTATATTTCAATGCAAGAATGGTAATATTTATTTAAAGTGCACGCTATTATGCTGACCTACATACTTCAATGCAAGAATGGTAATATTTATTTAAAGTGCACGCTATTATGCTGACCTACATATTTCAATGCAAGAATGGTAATATTTATTTAAAGTGCACGCTATTATGCTGACCTACATATTTCAATGCCAGAACGGTAATATTTATTTAAAGTGCACGCTATTATGCTGACCTACATATTTCAATGCAAGAATGGTAATATTTATTTAAAGTGCACGCTATTATGCTGACCTACATATTTCAATGCAAGAATGGTAATATTTATTTAAAGTGCACGCTATTATGCTGACCTACATATTTCAATGCAAGAACGGTAATATTTATTTAAAGTGCACGCTATTTTGCTGACCTACATATTTCAATGCAAGAATGGTAATATTTATTTAAAGTGCACGCTATTATGCTGACCTACATATTTCAATGCAAGAATGGTAATATTTATTTAAAGTGCACGCTATTATGCTGACCTACATATTTTAATGCAAGAATGGTAATATTTATTTAAAGTGCACGCTATTATGCTGACCTACATATTTCAATGCAAGAATGGTAATATTTATTTAAAGTGCACGCTTTTATGCTGACCTACATATTTCAATGCAAGAATGGTAATATTTATTTAAAGTGCACGCTATTATGCTGACCTACATATTTCAATGCAAGAACGGTAATATTTATTTAAAGTGCACGCTATTATGCTGACCTACATATTTCAATGCAAGAATGGTAATATTTATTTAAAGTGCACGCTATTATGCTGACCTACATATTTCAATGCCAGAACGGTAATATTTATTTAAAGTGCACGCTATTATGCTGACCTACATATTTCAATGCAAGAATGGTAATATTTATTTAAAGTGCACGCTATTTTGCTGACCTACATATTTCAATGCAAGAATGGTAATATTTATTTAAAGTGCACGCTATTATGCTGACCTACATATTTCAATGCAAGAATGGTAATATTTATTTAAAGTGCACGCTATTATGCTGACCTACATATTTCAATGCAAGAATGGTAATATTTATTTAAAGTGCACGCTATTATGCTGAACTACATATTTCAATGCCAGAACGGTAATATTTATTTAAAGTGCACGCTATTATGCTGACCCACATATTTCAATGCAAGAATGGTAATATTAAAAAAAAAAAAATTAAGTAAATTTCATGTTGTTGAGTCGACCTGCTTAGTGCATTGACAGAATGGTAACATTCATGCAAATTGTACACTACTGAGTTGACATACATAGTGACATGCTTGAAAGGTAAGATTTATGTACATTGGTAACAAGTGATTTCATAAACCTAGTGGCATTCTATTACGGTAACAATAATGTACAAGTTATAAACAAGACATACTTTGTTGAAAATGTACATAACAATGTGTGTAGACATGAGATTGACTTAAAGAAAACAACATATTTAGATTTACAATTACATCCACTGTTGAACACAAAAAGACATACAAATTAGAAGAATGAGTTAAATGTAGTACCATTGGATTAAATATACGTTAAAGGTTTTACCACTGGATTTAGGCAATTCTATATGTATTAGCGCTGGATTAAGCTTTGTTAAATGTATCACCACTGGATTAAAGCTGTGTTAAACGTATTACCGCTGGATCATAATTGTGGAACTGTCTGCACATCCTAGGTATAGCCACGTAGTTGACACAAATGTAGTACTTGCTGCAAGATGTAGGATCCGGTTGTCTACCATCTTTCATAGACTCACATACTGAAGAGGCTGGGAATGCATAAAATATTACATGGTATTGAGTGAAGGGTCTTTGATAACAATATTTTCCTTTTTCCTTAACATAATGAATGTATCACTGATTTTAGCAATTTGCTTTCAATGTGTGGCCAATAATAATAATGTTTCAATGTTCGAAGTGATAGAACTACTGAAACGATGAATAAACATACTTTTCCCACCACAAATCTATTGACTCAGCGACACGTTAAATTGTTATAAAGTTATGCTACATAACACAACATGAAATGCTTGTTACTTGGGCTTGTAGGTAAAATGCTTGTAGTCTCATAATGATGAGCAGACTCTTCTTGGCTGTTTGCCGGCTTGCACCATTCTTGTAGGATCAGCACAATAAGAACGCTCTGCTCACGACAGGAAACAAACAATCATTGATACAATAAATATATATGCACAGGAATTCGTTGTAAAGTAATCGGTGTTTTTAACAGATAATAAGTTAAGGACTAGTTTCAATTTCACGCTTCCACGATATCATGGTCTACTTTTTCCTTCACATAGCTTGAAAGCATTCCTTCCTTTATTATCTTTTCTTATCTCCGACACTATTTTCATCGTTGTCCTGGCTGATAGACAAAGCTCTTAGCCAAAACGTTCCTCTTTAATTGTCCAGTCTCCCTATTTTAAGCTTCTGGATGCCTTCGTCTAGAATTTCTATAGTATATTTTATTTTTGTCTTACAAAGCACAATTAGAATCGTACCCTCTCATTTTAGGAATCTAATCAGGAGAAAAGAACAGATTTTTCGTGTGAACAGTGTTAACGTGGTGATAGAACAATCTTAAACGATGGAATAGACAGCTTTATCGTGGGTCTTGCGGGGTTCTGGTCAAAATATCTCGTTTTTATCTCAAAAGATTGTAATGGGTAGAATTGTGAAAACGTAGTTTATCTTAATCAATTTTTCTTCACGCTGCCTAAATTCCAATTTTAGCTTAAGAAGTTCATCTTGTATCAAACGTCTATTTTGAAAACCGCAGGATCTTTAACAATACTTGTTTATAAATCAGTTTTTTAAGATATTCCGATGCAGAGCCGTCTATGCAGCTGTATGCCAGGGACATAATTTTGTAGTTAAAGCGCTCACTCACAGGAACCCAATGGAGATCTCGTAGAACTGGGTTAATGTAGTCAGATTTCTTTATCCACGCTACAATGCGTTCTGCAGTATTTTGTAATTTTTGAGTCTCTGAATTTGTTTCTGAGTAAACCCCACAAACATCTGTTACAGTAATTTAATCTTGACTGGATTAGAGCTACTGATACAGCATTGGCTGTTCTCTTAATGAGTTGAGGACGCAGCTGACCCAGGGCACGCAGATGACAGAAGCATGCCCTGACCACAGAACTGATATGGGGTATCATTCTAAGTTTACTTTCAATATATAAACCAATGTCTCTGACAGTGGATTACAACAGGATCTCTGACTGACCAACTTTTTTTGATGCGATGGCAACTTTCCGAAGATTGGCGTCTGAACAACAAATAATTGTCTCATTCTTATCGTCAAATCTGTAACTGGTCTAGGGCCTCGGATTATATAAACAACACTACAACTAAGTATACTAAAAAATTTGTCAATTCTCTCTATAAAAAATATACAACGTCACATAAAGACAATATGATTTGATTGGTAAGCATATAAACATTATAATACATTTAAAATAATGACACAATTTGACCATTTAAAACTTGAATTATTATTATAACAACTCCTTGCATCCTCTCAGCCTCAAAGCATAACGCAACATGAAATCTCCGACAAAAAAAAATAACATATCAATTTTCTTTTACATACCAGTGTCTGCAGTTTCATCTTTTGAGATAGCTTCACAATTTGAACGAGCTCCTACCTTACCGCTTTTGATTTGACATCTGATTACTATCAGGAAACAGCTGCGGTATTCATGAGCTGCAATATTTATTTTCAATTACCACCTGCCCTCAACTTTACCCCTATTCACAATACACTTCCTCGCCCCTCCCACCCTTAAAAAAACCCTTTACATGTTTGCTTCAGATGCTCATCGTTAATAGAGTTTCCCTCTGTCCCCCCCCCCCCCCCCCCCCCCCCACACGCACCAAATCCTTAAAACTAATGGACTCTCATCACACATCTGAACCTACGCCACTGTTATGAAGCGGGTTCTTCCCAATGGTTCGTTTGCTTCGTTGTCTAGGGTCTAGTTATATACTCATCACAAACCAATATTCTCATATTAAATATCTTTATTAACGAACTTCAACTTCCATTACTGTACTCAAAGACTACACTACTCAATAACAATAATACGTCATAAACCCTTTCACACACTACGTCACAAGATACTAAGAATAATAGATAAAACAACACACATAATCTCTAAACAACGCGCAATCACACTATATACATTCCAGTCCTTTACAGCAACATAATCATAGGTGTGCCGAGGACGTATGGCACCAACTGCAAAAGTCGAAAATGTCTCCCCACCAAACTAGCCACCCCCAGATGGTAAGAAACCTATTCTTAATATCAGTAGAAATTAAGATTTAGAGATACAATTGAGATTTAAGGATAAAATTAAGATTTAGAGATAAATTTTAAATTTAGATATCATATAAAGATAAACTACGACTTATATGCAAAGATAATACTTTAGATTAGCTTTAGCTCACATTTATGAATAAAACCATTGAATTAGGAGTAGGATGTTTTCATAAACAGCAAACCATTAAAGTTGTGCAGCTTAGCTGTGCACTTATGTAGATTACTAGCTACTGTGCAACAGCCTTATATTACCACAAAGTGCAAATTGCAACAGAAGTAATAGCTTAGCGTGCTACACTTTACCTTACTTCATAAGTGACCAAAAAATTATACTACACATTTCCTCGATTTTGTCACCCCTAGACATGTCGTGTTTAACTTAACAAACACTTCGTGACGCCACTGCCTAAAACTGGCATTTCTAAGGCGTATTCTAATTGAACATGCATGACACAGTATTCGTAAATATTTTAATTTAGACACCTGTCTCTTACCTGAACTATTTAGTAGCAACACACACAAATAATAAGATCGATATTTTCATTAGTTTACAGCTCGTAGTAGATTGAAAAATCAAGTGATGTTGATGTGGTCAATAGTAGGGTTGGGTTGAGATGAGAGGGTAAGAGGGTGGTGTTGGAGGATGGATTAAGTGAGAGATAAGAGTATTTATACAATGGAGGTTGCTTTGTGCTAGTATTGCACCTTGGTTACAATGCTTCCTTTACTTTTGGACGGACTCTCTAAAACTAATTATCAATACATGGCTAAAAATGTGGGTGTCGTTAAATGGGTTAACTTTTTTTTTCTTTACCCTTTGAATTTCTTTTTGTCACTGACTTGGCAAATTTACGTGTAGATAAAGGTCAAAGACAATAAAGCAATCAATTACTTACCCTGAGTTAGCTTGACCTTTGATGGCTTACCACAGCAATAACGTCATGTTGATCAACGAGATTTATTTTAAACAATCAGTTTGGTCTGTCTATCAAGGGGCAGTACAAATATTTGCCTCTCTACCAAGGGACGGTATAAACATGGGCCTGTCTACTAAGGGATATTACAAATAAGTGTGCCATTAAAATGTAAATATATTTTAAAAATAAATATGATTCAAAAGCTCGTCGAAAGTCAAGTCTAACTCTATGACATTTCCTTTAACTGATTGTTGAGGATTTGTTCGTATTTTGTGATTGACTATTTGGCGCTGAGATTATATGTGTAGCTATATGCCCGGGCTTTTGTGACGTATTCCTTTAAAGGGACATGATGTTGTTAATTTTTTTTTTTTTAGATAATGCTGGTAATGGACCATTTAGACAATGGAGTATTAGTAATGGCGACGCTTGCATAATAAAGAGACATTTGACATGAACCATTGGTTTGTTAAGTAATTGAATTACACCCTAGACAACGAAGCTATTGAACTGTGACAATGTGCAATTTGAAATACTGATCTCAGAAGACCAAAGTGATGTTCAGAACTATCCACAATAAACAAGCTGCTTTTTATATGACCTGTCACTTACTGCTACCTTTATATTACTGCTAGCTTTCACTTACTGCTAGCTTTCACTTACTGCTACCTTTCACTTACTGCTACCTTTCACTTACTGCTATCTTCAATTACTGCTACCTTTAACTTACTTCTACATTTAACTTACTGCAACCTTTCACTTACTGCTACCTTCACTTACTGCTACCTTTCCCTTACAGCTACTTCACTTATTGCTACATTTAACTTACTGCTAGCTTTCACTTACTGCTACCTTTCACTTACTGCTACCTTTCACTTACTGCTACCTTTCACTTACTGCTACCTTTCACTTACTGCTACCTTTCACTTACTGCTACCTTCACTTACTGCTACCTTTCCCTTACAGCTACTTCACTTACTGCTACCTTTAACTTACTGCTAGCTTTCACTTACTGCTACCTTTCACTTACTGCTACCTTTCACTTACTGCTACCTTTCACTTACTGCTACCTTTCACTTACTGCTACCTTTCACTTACTGCTACCTTCTCTTACTCCTACCTTTCACTTACTGCAACCTTTCACTTACTTCTACCTACTTACTGCTACCTTCACTTACTGCTACCTTTCCCTTACAGCTACTTCACTTACTGCTACCTTTATCTTACTGCTAGCTTTCACTTACTGCTACCTTTCACTTACTGCTACCTTTCACTTACTGCTACCTTTCACTTACTGCTACCTTTCACTTACTGCTACCTTTCACTTACTGCTACCTTCTCTTACTGCTACCTTTCACTTACTGCAACCTTTCACTTACTTCTACCTTCACTTACTGCAACCTTTCACTTACTGCTACCTTTAACTTACTGCTACCTGTAACTTACTGCTACCTTTCACTTACTCCTACCTTTCACTTATTGCTACCTTTAACTTACTGCTACCTTTCATTTACTGTTACCTTTTACTTACCGCTACCTTTAACCAAATACTACCATCCACTCACTCCTACCTTTCCCTTACTGCTACCTTTCACTTGCTGCCGCCGAAGTCTCGATGAAATGTTTTGCTGCTTCAATAACCTAAATCAATGTGATAATATCTATTTATTGTGTTTGCATAAATGACAATGTTATTTTTAACATGTTGTTACACAACTTATAATGATTAAGTCTTAGTGCTGGACAAAACCTGACTTCAGATTTTAAATCGCCTCACTCGGTTTAGTACTTTCAATACCATATAGATAAAAAGGGACATGTGTGTTTTTTTTTTGCTATTGTTTTTTTTTTAAGTTGTTACTTGATCATATCATCTTGATCCTTTGTCCTCGGATGGTTGGAGCGCCACAAATGACAAGAAAACTGTCCTTCTATATCCCTTTCTGTTTTTTTTAAACTTCGCACAGCATCGCCTATTTTTAGTCCCCTCCACGCTTTGATGTTATCTTCCCATCTTTTTCTCTCTTCCTCTACTTCTCCGTCTTCTTGCTGCACCCTGCAGGGTTTCTGTTGCGAGCCCTTGTTGTCTTGTCACGTGGCCTTACCATTCCAGTTTGCGCCAGGAGGTCAACGTACTGCCCAAGCGTTTGAGTAATCTTTTCTTTCACTTGTTCAGTGGCGATTAGGTCTTGATAGCAGATGCCAAGATGCTTTTCAAACATCTCATCTTCATCGCCTTTATTTTTCTAGCAAGTTCTGCTTTTAATGTCCAGGACTAGCAGGCCTACAAGAAAATGGAGAGGACCAATGAGTCCATCAGCCCGATTTTTGTGCTGGGTCTAAATTTTTGTATCATGATATTTTCAAATGAAATATGTTAAAAATGACATCATTCCAAAATTTGTCACGTGACTTATACATTTGCTTACTTTTATATATTTTAAATGCAATCAATCGCTTTTTATCAATACATTTTTTGCAAATTTTAAGCGTTCAAATTTAGACACAATTTTATTTCTATACTTACTTTCACAACAAACAAAGTGTTTAAACAATAACTGTATGTTCTGTTATTCACAGAAAAAAACACAATATTTAAACAAGAACATAATGTTCTGCTTTCATTATGAATTAACGGCACTGCTCTGTTTACTTGATTACGAGTCTCAGAAATTATATTTCAAACCTTTGTATTTATCTTACAAACGTATTTAAAAGATGCAGTACAATAGGATCCACTAAGAATTACAATTTCATATAGTACAATCTCCAGCATTGGACGAAGTTTTTGTAGTAGTGCCTGGCAAGGATAAAGAAACTGTATTGTGATTGTAATTATTTTTCAAATATTTAAACATTAGAGATTTTCTATTAAAAACTACTTTGTTACAACCAATTTGTCCAGCTAAATCTCGGCACGGTTTGCATCTCGTCTTTCATAAAAAAATGAAACGGATCCAATTACACATCTTAAGTCATCGGTCTTAATCGACTCGTACACTTTTACACATTTTAAACATTATATGAGCACATGGGGCTACCCGTTTCCACAGCCTACTTCTTCAACAAGCTACCACCACCACCACCGATACCCTTTCACACACACTTGTTATGACCCCTCACAAACACTTGCAGTGACCCCGAACAAACACACAACCCTCCTAACAAACCTCACATTTTTATGCCATTAATCATTAAACTGATATCACTTCGTGGACCCATGTGCCGCTTAATTATTGAAAAGGGAGAGCCATGTTACTAAATATCAATCTCAAAAAGTCTCTGATCACAATATAACTTGAAATAGTCACTAACGCATGAATAAATGCAGCTTTAGTAGCTTCGCTTATATAAAAAAAAATACTACAAATTTCTATTATTTCTGCATGGATAACATCAAACTTTTATAGGAGTCAAACGACAAGATCCTAAGATTATCATAAAAAGACGTTCCATCCGTCCATC